TTGTCTTTGTTCAAAATTCCATAATAGTACCTTTAGTTCTATTGCTCTCTTTGGCTGCAGTACTAATATCTGTAGTGGGTTCAACTGTCTCTATACTTGCATAGATAAAAATAAACAAAAAACTTAATAAATACCTTTAGCTCTAACACTTTCTTTAGCTCTAACACTTTCTTCAATAGGTAAAACTCTCTCTATTATCATGAACCATTACATTAACAACTATTAATATTACAATACCTTTATATCTAACACTCCTAGTAGTAGGTACAGCGATTGCTGTCTCTAATTAAAAAATAATGACAAGCATAAATTATTTGAGACATACCTTTAGACCTCACAGCCTTCTTAGCATTAGAAGTAACAGAGGCATCAACTGTCTCTAAAAATAAATCAGAATAATTAATAGTGATACGAATACCTTTAGTAGTAGCAGTTCCCTTGATAGGTGCAACTCTTTTTGCTTCTACATTAATAATAAAAAGTATTGCAGCTAATTTTAAAGGCCTTTACTGTTATTAGCTGTGACAGTATGTGTCTGTGTTTCTATACCTACACAATTATAAAGCATTATAGAATAATATTATGTTTCATGCATACTGTTTGCAGCACTCATTGAAAGCTCTTCTCCTTCATCAGTGTCTACAATTACCAATGAATGAAATACTAATTTACTGTTACATACCATTACTCAAGGAATCTTGGTCTTCATCTTCAGCATTTGAATCTTAATATTAATAAATACATTATGTTCAACATAATAATATGAATTCATCAACACCCACCTTGAGATGTCATATTAGCAGGGGCGTATCTGAGGGGGGGCCTACAGGGGCCTGGGCCCCCCCATCAATTGTTGTAGATAATGATATTCATTGTTTGTTTTATTACTTACCACCTAGTAATAAAAATTAACCACCTTGTAATCATTTACAATACATTGCACAGCAGTAAATGTACAAGAAATAAGAAGTAGACAGAAGCAAAACACTCATTTTATAGTAATCATTGTTGAAAATGTAAGATTTTGTTGCTTTAAAATACGCAAAATGCTATTTTAGTGCACTATACGAACGCTAAAAAGGGGTGTGGCCAAATTTTCGGCGCGCTTCGCGCGCCATTTATCTCTGTGCCCTCTCATCATTTCCTTCCCAGCTACGCCCCTGCATATTAGGACGATATAACTGAACCCATAACTCATACCTCTCATCCGGAATGTCATACCCATTTTCAAACCTCTTAGAGAATTGCCTGTGCTCACTCATAGTAAAATCTAAAAATATGGTCCAATATCAGATTAAATTTTTCACAATAAGATATATTACTTGCACTTCTCTTCAACTCTTTTACTCTATTAGCTTCCTTCTGGTTCTCAAGTCTAGCAATTCTTTTACGCTCCTTCTCCTTCAAGGCTTCCTGCTTCACTCTTTCCTTTTCCTCTATACATGTCATGAATTCAACACTAGTCAATACTCTTCCACATGATTTAGGCTTCAGGGTGGGCTTGCTACTGGGATGACTAGGAGTTTTCAGAAAAGACTCTATAGGCATTACTCTTCGCATTGGAGTGACAGCTTGCGATAAATCATTCTCTGAAAGTGATCTCTCCAAGAGACTAGAATTGAATGAAGAATCGTGATCCCTCGTTCTCTTTATGTCTGGACTATAGAGCGGTATGTATGCTAGA